ACCCCCCCGGCGCCCTCGGGCTCGGCCGGGAAGCGCGCCCGGAAGTAGGGGCTGCAGGCGGCCAGCACCAAGCGGTGACACGGGAACTCGCGCTCGCCCACGCGCACCACGCAGTCCAGGAACTTGCCGTGGTCCAGCATGTCCTTGAGCCCGTCCTGCAGCAGCGTCTGCTGGTACAGCCGCTGCTCCTCCGCCTGCTCCAAGCCCAGCGCCATGTTGGGTGGCCTGGCTTGTGGCGACTATTCCAGGGGGCCCCCTCTGTACCCTGGCTTGCCTGCCGGGCGCTCGGACTGCGCAGCTGTCTTCCCGGCTATATATAGAGGTGGCCCGGCCCTGTAAGGCGAGCCGGGCCTGCTACGCATGACGCACAGGGGACAGCTGGGCAGAGGCCGCTCCCAGAGCAGCCTTGACTCAGCCGTTGGGGGCTCTGGGACCAGAGTGGGGTGTCTGGGCCCTCGGGGAAAGATGAGGGCTGTGCTGCTTCATTTCATTTCATTTCTTTCTTTCTTTTTTAAGAAGAATTATTTACATAATTTTATTTACTCATTCATTTATTTTAATTTGAACACACACACACACACACACACACAAGAAAGCAAGCCACCAGGTCCAGGTCTCCAACAGTAGTCGGAGATGTGGGAGTGTCTAGCGCCTTAACCACCATTTTGGTGGTGGTGGTGGTGGGGAGGATGGCCTTGCTATAATCCCTTCTCCTCCATTCTCCTCTAGGGATCCCGTGCACACATGCACATGACGTGACTTTAAGCCACCAGGTCCAGGACTCGAACCGTGGTTGACTACATGGGAGTCCAGCGACATAGCCATTAGGCTAACTGCTGGTCCCATTTCTTCATGAAGTGTAACCAAACCTTGACTTTGGATCCTTGATGGGAAGGTGCCCTTGGGGGAAGAGTGGCCCAGCTCAGTGCAGGGAGGAAGAAGCAGTGGGCCCCTCTTTTCCTTACTGCCTTCCTGCCTGCCGGTCCCAGTGCCTCCATTTCTCCCTGGAGTAGATGTCACCCCGGCCATCTGTGTTGGTTTCCCACTCCGTACACGCAGCCATGGCTCGCTCTCTCTGGGGGCCTAATCACTCCACCTTTTCCTCTTTCTGCCCCAGATCTGGGAAGTTCCTTGCAAGAATGTACGCGGCACCTGGGTTGGTTGTTGGCACAGGGCTCAGTGTGGCACCACCCGTGTGGAAGAGTTGCCAGCTTGTGTCAGTAGACCTCTGCGGGTGTATCAGGGTTCCACGTGCCGGTGATCCAGGTCGGCTGCAGCTGAGGGTGGATCACAGTGTCAGGGGATTGTCTGTCTCTGTCTTTCTTTCCATTTATTTTTAATTATCTTTTTCTGTTTCTTTGTGGTTTTTTTTTTTAGAGGTTTTTGCTATAGGGCGCGGTGTGCTCACCAGAAAAACAGAGAGAGACAGAGAGACAGAAAGTGAGAAATCACACCCCCCCCAGGGGGATGGCTACCCTGCAGTCCCTTTTCCTCCATTCTCCTCTCGGGATCTTGGGCACGCACACATGCACACGCACACACACACATGCCCAGCGTGAGTTTAAGCCACCGGGTCCAGGACTTGAACCACGGTCGACTACATGGGAGTTCAGCGACATAGCCGTTATGTCAACTGGTCCCTGTTTCCATTTATTTGGAATAAATACACCTTAAAAAAGAAAAACAAGATGCCTTAGGTACAGAGGCCCCCATCCCTGTGGGGCTTGGAGCAGGGCTCTGTGAAGCCTCATTTCCCCTCTTCCACGATATAGAAGCGGAGGCAACAGACGCTGAGGTCTCAGTTCAGGTCTGTGGTTGGGAAGCTCAGAGGTACTGTGTCTGGAGTGCGCTGTTGGGGATGTCAGACGAGCTAGATAATTAATTTCCTTGCATTCTATTATTCTAGGTGTTTGAATCTCCAGAGTTTTAAGATTCTGGGGGAATGATACTTGGAATTGTAGTGTTAAAAAGTCCTCTGAGAGTTCACTGTTGCAGAACTTCGGCTGTCTCCACTCGATGTTCTTGGTCCATACTACGCTTGAGCCTTACCTGGTCTTGGGGCCCCTGCACTCTGTCTGCTGTCTGAGGGGTCAAGATTGAGGGCCGGTGGGACCAGCAGTTAGCGTAATGACTATGTCGCTGGACTCCCACGTTGTCGACCGCGGTTCAAGTCTCGGACCCGGTGGCTTAAAACTCACGCTGGGCACGTGTACGTGCGTGCCCAAGATCCCGAGAGGAGAATGGAGGAGAAGGGATTGTGGCCTGGCCATTCCCCCTGGGGGGTGATTTCTCACTTTCTGTTTCTCTGTCTCTCTCTGTCTGCCTGGTGAGCGCCCCTGCCCTATATAGCAAAAACCTCTCCAAAAAAGAAAAATTGAGGGCCGGGACAGCGAGTCCTGATGCCCACCCTGCTCTGGGCTTTTGACACTCACCCCCAAACACACACACACACACACACACACACACACACACCAGCTTCAGACCCAAGATTAACTTGTTCCCGAGGTGCCAGAGGCTGCAGCTGTGGGTTAAATTTAGCCCCTGGGACACTGGGTTGAACCGTAGGGGGCACTTCCCCACCCTCCTCTGAGTCACTTGTTAGTTACCTCCAGCTTGGCCAGCAGCAGGTGGGGGCTGCATGGGAGAGAAGTCCTCAGGCTGGGCCAGGACTGAGTCACCTCCACTTGTGTGACCCCAGCAATGTCCTTGCCTGTCCTCTGACCATGGCTCATTCGAGTCCCTCTGGGACCCAACACCCAGGCAGCCCCTGGAGGTGATCCTGTCTCATTGAAAGGGCAAAGGCTCCCTGCAGGGGGACAGTTGGGGCCTTCCAGCCCAATCCTAGACTGGTGAGACACCCAGCTCCGAGAGTCACAGCCATTCGGCCAAGTCACACAGCTGGTGAGTAGTCGCTCCAGGATTCGAGGTAGATCTGCCCACCTCCGAAGGTGCGGGAACCACTCCCCATCTCGCTGCGTCCCAAGAATCAAGAAAAACGTCTACTAAGCCTCCTCTCGTTTTCCAAAGAGCGGGTCAGAAGGTACTGACTGAACAATTAATTTATATTTATCAAGTGACTTAACGAGGTATTTTTAGGTGATGATGGGTCCCCGTGGTGCTCACTCCCTACCAGGCATTCCGCCGGCCATTTCTGTGTGGCTCATTCATTCATCAAGAACCTGCTGTTCACTGTTCTCAGGGCTGAGGGCCCCGCAGGGGATGCGTCAGGCGGGGGTTCCTGTCTTCATGGAGCTTTCGTTTCATTCATTCAGGAACCAGGTGGGGGGTGGGGAGGGGGCAGAAGAGGGACAAGGCAGCAGAGGATGAGGAGTGCTGTGGAGACGGGGTAGGGGAGGTGGCAGGGAGCAGAAGGATTGGGGAGTGACAGGCGGGGTGGTGGCCATTTTAGATGACTCACTGAGAGTCCATTGGAGCAGCTTCAATCCGTGAGGGGTGGGGCGGTGGATGAGGAGGTGAGTGGGAGGCCATAAGGGGAGACGTAGGGGTGGAGCAGGATCACGGAGGGGCATGTGAGCCAACCTAAGGGCTTTGGTTTCCCCCCTGCCCCGAGTGAAATGCGAGCCATTGTTTATTTTCAAATTATTCTGGAAAATGTAAATATACACAAAAATAGAATAATACTCTGGTCTTTTAATAGCTATGAAGTTGGCTCAGCTAACGTAGCCTGGGTTCAATATTCAGCTCCCCCCAAAGCTGGGGTGATAGCACTGGAGTCCCTCTTACTCTGGAGGCTGAGGCAGGAACATAGTGATGCTCTATCAAAAAAAAAACCCATCAAGTCTTGGACCAGCAGGTGGTGTGGAGGTCAAGGTGTTGGATCCCACATCGCCAACTACAAGGTTCAAGTCCTAGACCTGGCAGCTCGAATATCATACTGGGCCTCCATGTCCAAAATCCCTAGAGGAGACTGGAGGAGAAGGGATTGTGGTATGGCCATACCTCCCGCGGTATGATTTCTCACTTTCCCTCTCTCACTCTCTCCCTCTTTCTGTCTTGCGTGAGTGTATACACCCTACAGAAAAATGAAAACAAAACAAAACAAAAACCACCAAGTCCTGGCCAATCCTGTTTCATCTCTACTCACTTTTTTTTTTTTTTGAGAGGTTTTTGCTATAGGGCACATGTGCTTACCAGAAAGACAGAGAGAGACAGAGAGACAGAAAGCGAGAAATCACCCCAGGGAGGATGGCCACACCGCAATCCCTTCTCCTCCATTCTCCTCTCGGGATCTTGGGCACGCACACACACACGCCCGGTGTGAGTTTAAACCACTGGGTCCAGGACTCGAACCGTGGTCGGCTACATGGGAGTCCAGCGATGTAGCCATTACGCCAACTGCTGGTCCCTCTACTCACTTTTTTTTTTTTCAGAGCTTTTTTCTATTTTTTTTTTAAGAGATTTTTGCTATAGGGCGTGTGCGCTCGCCAGACAGAGAGAGACAGAGAGATAGAAAGCGAGAAATCACCCCCCAGGGGGGATGGCCATGGCCACGCTGCAATCCCTTCTCCTCCATTCTCCTCTCGGGATCTTGGGCATGCATGCACATGCGCCTGGAGTGAATTTTAAGCCACCGGGTCCGGGACGTGAAACGCAGTTGACTACGTGGGAGTCCAGCGACATAGCCATTACGCTAACTGCTGGTCCCTGCTCACTTTTTTTTTAAGACAGGGTCTTGTCCTGCCACACTCTTCCTGACTCCCAGCTAGGACTATAAGCACACACTGCCACATTTGACTTTGTTTTTCTTTTTGTAGGGTGCATGTGCTCACCAGAAAGAGAAAGTGAGAAATCGCACCTCCTACCCCGGGGAAATGCTGCAGTTTCTTCTCCTTCATTCTCTTAGGATTTTGGACACACACACACACGTGCCCTGTGTTTTGAGTCACCGGGTCCAGGACTAGAACCACTCTCAGTTTATTTATTTCCTTCATGAGTGAGACAGAAACAGAAGGACGGCATCTCCGACAGGATTTTGACCCCGCAATTTTACCAGCTTCAGCCAATCCCAGATCATGGGCACGTGCATCCCTGTGTACTCAGGGAGGTGTTCAGATATGAACCCAGAACCTTCCATGGGTCAGGCCTTGCTAAGGGTCATGTATGACTATTGCACTGTGGTCCAGTTCCTTGGCTTTTTTTTTTCTTTTTTTAAAATTGTGTCTGAAAATCCATGCGCTTATGTGAGAAAGAGAGA